TCATTGAATAACGTTTCAATTAACATTGATTTAAATTAAAAAAAAATGTTGGTAGACTTTCGGCGGTTTTGAAAATCCGGGAATCGGAAATGGGGAGAGATTAAAATGGGGAATAATTTCAACTAATGTTCTCTTAGGACTCAATAACTCGAAAATCAAAGCATATCCAAATAATCTAATACCATCATTTGATAGAGCAAACTTCCTTTATCGAATGGAAATTTTATTTTGCGTGGTAGTGTTTTGATTCTCGAGAATTTTGTTGGGTTGTTCTGCCTATTTCAATTGTTGGTCTAGAAATATTTCTGAGCTACCGTGAGTGCAGCGAGGGTAGCGAATTGAATGAATAAACATGTTAAAAAACAACAGGAGAATACGAAAATATCACCAAGGGATAATCCATAAACGGAGTAATTAGTGTTTATACTAGTTTTTCCCTCATATTTTAAGTCAGAAATATAATTTCGTGTATCCACTCATAAAGCACTTAGCGGAAAAAACGATCAAAGATTTGTGTGACTGAGTTTGAGTAGCCCAAAAAGTGGTCCCAAGTTAAACAAAAACATAAATCTCTCAAAATGTTACGTTCACTGGGAATGATCCTATAGTCCATTGAATGTATTGTTGTGTATCATAATATTGAATGGAAGAACCGTGCATCAATCAAAGGCCGTGCGTGCTCTCTCCGAATGCAAAACGAAGCTCTATATTTACGGTTTCACCGAGTCCATCCCGAAGTTCAAAATGTTGTTTGGTGAGCAGAGCGGATGTAAATCACGCCTCACTCAAGAAGAACGAATCCCGCATCACTCGTCGTGATGCGTGTTTGTGGAAGTCCAGCTTGAGCATCAATCTGAACTCGAACTCTTTTGTGCTCCTTGGATTTGACATCACTCTTTATATGTGAGGGATGAACTAGATCGTGATGAATGAGCATCTATACGGCATAATCTGAGTTCGGGGAGTTTAGGTAAGCCTGTTTAGAAATATCGTTAAAGTTAATAATTGATTTACCGTAATTATTCGCATAAACTTAAATGTTCAGGACATAAAAGGTGATTTGAAGAGGCTTAACATCTATCAAACATGTCACTGTGGATACGTTGAATTTGGAATGAATGATTTTCAAATTATTACTTTATTTTGTAAAATATCATACAATTAGGCTGAATTTTTTTCAATGATCTATTTTTTTTTAAATATATGTACGTTGGTTTAGTTGTAGTATATATTTAGTAAATACAAAACATCTAGTCAACCTTCCCAAATTTCTTTTAAAATTCAAATTCAATCAAAAAGTTTTTTTTCTGAAATTTAACTCCATAACAACTAAATTGAAAGTCTAGATCTAACATATACGATGGTTATGATGGTTCATGGGCCGATTTAACTGATATATGTTACCACGTTTACATTTGTTGGATAAATTCCTGGAAATAAAACATACATTCTTTAATAATGATTCTTTCAATAAAAAAAACTGGTTTTGATTTAAAATAAAACCATGTCCAAAAAATATTGTTCACAAATGATTGAATAATCAATTATGGTATTCTCCATTGATCCGAAGTCTGTTGAAGCTACCAAACACCTTCTGAGGGCATTTAGAGTTCTCTTTGTTAATTTAGGTTAGCGGATCTTCAGTTTTCAGAAAATGTAATTAAAACCATGTTTTACCCTCTCCAGCAATTTTTTTTTTCCAATTCTGCATGCTTCCGTTCAAAATGGAGGCAGTATGAAAAAAATTATGAAAATGATCTTGATCTAGCAGTTTTTGTTAACAAAAATGTATAATTTTATTAACTTTTCCCACGAACGATTGCACCAATTTTAACTAAACTTGGCTAGCTAGAACAAGAACGAACAAATGTTGGGCCAAATTAAAAAAAACATCTATTCAGTCTAAATGTATTGACGCTGGAATTTTCCTTTCGAAGTTAAGAGCATTTTTCAAAGTAATATTTGTTTTACTGAAAATTGTAGAACAAATCTATTTGGTCAACATAACAACTTAACATAATGATTTTGAAACCAATGTATTCCTAATTTTCATGAAAATTCTAGATAACAAGTGTATCTTTTCATCCGTTAACACAACATTGGTTAAAAAATTTGATTGTTTTTCGGCTCATAAAATTTAGCCCGCCAAAAGACGGGCTTGGAAAGTAAAGTTTTGAATAAAGTTTTCGAAATTGATTATTTACTTACATACTTGAATAGCCCATGCTTTATTTTTACGAGTAAACAAAAATCCAAAAATAGCTAAGTATGTCCCCCAAGCGGTGCCGGTGGTGTAGTGGTAAGCGTGATTATCTCTCACCCCAGCAGGCCTGGGTTCAATCACAGTCGGTGCCGCCGGGAGTTCTGAGGCATAACATGTCTGATCACGCCTTCATTCAGAAGGGAAGTAAAGCCGTTGGTCCCCGGTTCATGAGTTGATGGCTCGATAGGTAGGGTCCAGGAGTGGAAGCTGCCTCCCTGGCGTCGGTAGCATTGGTGCTCAGCACGGAAAACAAGATCGACGGAAAACAAATCAAGGAAAAAAAAGTAGGTCCCCTGCTCCGAAATGAACAATAGGGATTTGAACTTTCCCAGTTAATTTGGTGCTCAAGCATTGTTCAAAAATAAGAAGAAGAAAGCTCGGGACCGCATTTGGGATAAAATAAAAGTCAAAATTTGTTCTCTAGAGCTAGTACAGTAAAGTTCTAATGGTTGAATCGATATAACTCAACTTGTTTTATATTTAACTACGTTGGATAAAGTATTAGGAGCATGCAGTGTTTAACAAAGTTGTTCGATATTTGTTTCTGAAAAACATTATTCAAGACCGCAAATTAGTAGGAATTCAACCTAAAAAGTAACAGCTTCAAAAAATTGCACAGACATATTCAGATAATCGACGCTTCAGGGGAAATCTCATCAAACCCTCGATGGATGATTTGAAAGTTCACAGTGAATACGTAGAATGACCAACTCTATCGACTGGAATACACATAATTAATATACATTTTTTATTATAATAATGGTCTCAGAGACACCGTGATTAAACTTCCGTTGATAATCCGTTCCTCAATCCATAGCATCCATGTGAATAAATTAAATGTGGCATACAGCCATAGACTTGGCAAAACATACTCAACAATATTTAAAATGAAGATTGCCACCCCTGATTGCTTATCTTATAGTCATATAAATTGACTGAAATATCATCCACATTCCAAAAACACTACATGGGTCAGAAATCTCTGATAAATCTATCATGCCTAGGAACGAGGTAAGAGTAAAGTGTTTAAGAGGCCAATACCTTTGAACGAATATTTATTTACCATTGAGAATCAAGTTCGTACAATTTTAAAATCAAATTCCAGCTTGGCAATGAGACCAATTAGAAGCTCTTGAATCACCTGAAACATGTATGAGACAGTACAAGTCTGCTCAATTTTTAAGTTTAATCTGATTGTTCTTTTAGCTCTTATATAAAGTCTAATGTCACATGCATGACTGTTGACTATCGACATGATCTGTTTGAAGAGCCTACATGGTTTAGGTTACTGCATTCGAAGTGAATTCTTACATCATAAATGCATTCGTCACTGGGTTGTTCAACATTTGTCTTCCTAGTAAACATGTTATATCACTTGGTCAATAATAATTAATACCTATCTCGTCTGTCTCTCACGTCGTAAGCTATGCACATCACATTCCAAGTCGATCCCAAAGCACACGTACATGAGCATCATCCACCTACCTATACTCAGATATGTAGGTTTCTTTCGGATGGAAGAGTTTTATTGCAACCAGAAGGATTATAATATTCACCCAAACGATCACTCAGCTCGGCAGCCTCAACAGCACAAAAACATCTGGACCGCTCGTGCTCTCCTTCCCTGTGGTCTGCATCCTAGAGCCTAAGTGAAAAAGGATACTATCATCCAAAACGTATGCATGTCAGCTTTGTGGGGCCCAAAGCCCGCAACCCTCAGATCCCCAGTCCGGCTAAAGGGATGACAATGTAGGTTAAAACAAGAGTGCAATAAGAGAATAATAATTCTACCATATTGCATTTGCCAGAGCAGTGTGTTTCCTCTCTCAGGGAACAACTCGGGGCCATCAACGACGACGACGGCTCGAGTGTTGGGTTGTTTAGTTATATCCTGGTTCGGTTTGCCTTAGTTCTTCCTTTCCTATGTCTGTAGTTATGCGGTATAGGATTCAGGCACCAGCGATATCATCAGTGCCCAAGGAAGAGGTTTTGGATGTGCCAGCAGTGACTTAAATGCAAACGTTACATAAGCTTAAGCCAGCAGCAGTGGCGGGCTTCACTGGTGAATTGTGGGATAGAGTCTGGTGATGATGTTATTTTACCATTACGAACTGTTTCTATCTTCCGAGTATACTGCTCATTTGCGTAGCTTTGGAGCCAACTATATCGTGGATTGCATAGAGGGTAAAACTGTTTAAAATGAGCACCTTAGAATGGCGTTCAATTTCAAATTATTTCCACATCTACTATGAGGCCACCAAGCCATTTACCCTAGTGGATAAAATTAGGTCTATAAATTTAAGCATTCTGCTGTTAACTGTTTAAAGTAATTTACATCTCCCTTTATGCGACTTCGGTGTTGCACAAAAAACTAGGACAAACACTTTTTTAGACTTGAGCTTCTATAGTCGGGTTCCTCGTACCTTATTGTAGACAAAAGCTCCATTGTCCAGGATTCCAAATATAAAACATGAATTCTTTTTGTCACCGTCCAGCAACACTTCCACAACTACATCTACGTATACGGGTTGCACCATATCAAGTCTAGGAAAAATATACTCAAACAGCTACTGAAAAGAGAGGTTCTCCGACCAGACAATCCTGGGCGCTTCAACCAGCCCACAGATCTACATCTAGAGATAACGATAGCGACACAACAGTAGCACTACTAGAGTGTAGCAAACACTATTATTTCTAATTCAATTTTCATTGTGTTCTCCTTTCTTGTTCTCCGCAGCTACGGATGTTTAATTTACATCGCAACACAAATAGCCTCCGGTATGAAGTATCTAGAGCAAATGAATGTAGTGCATCGTGATTTAGCAGCGAGGTAAGTGCAATTGCATATGTATTTATGGGAGTTGTGTATTGCGGCTGTTTCGAGTTTTTTTTTCTCTAGAATTTGATGAAGCTTGAATAAAGGCTTATTCTTTATTCGAAAAGCATCAAATAGGTATTTTTTTTAGTTGTTTTATAAAAAGTTTCAAATGAGTTCAAAGGATGATACCAGAGAGCAAGCAATATTCCTTTACACCGCCTTTAACGATTTATGTTGAAAAAAACAACTTTCCTGAGGATTATATAACATTCGCCCGTAGACATTCGCACTAATTCCATTTCTTCCGTATGGACCATTCACCCAAATGAACTATTTCTTAATAATCTAAAGTCCGTCTAATATAGAAAATTTTTCATTAGCAATGGATAGAAGCATATCGTGCATTCATTTACATTCATTTGCCTCTAACTTTTTTCTTCGACAGCATTCCGCAAAATGATGTATAGAGCTTAACAAGTCAAATCCATTTCTCTTATGCATGACAAACAAGAGCGAAAATAAGCCACTACTGTTTTTCAATGAATGTATTTTACATTCATTAAAAAACAGTAACAAGTTCTGCCCGCTCTAATTCGTGATGAATAAGAGATACAGACTTGAGTTATGAGCTGAGTTGTAGTTAATAACAAAACCTACAAAAGCTCTATATATCATTTTGCGGAATGCTGTTGATGATAAAAATTTAGAGGCAAATGAATGTAAATGAATGTATGAAATGAATGCAAATGATTTCCCTTGCCTGGATAGAAGTAACCTTGAAATACAAAATGTTTGTTTCGAGTAGTTCTTTCTAGTGGGTTACAGTGTATTAACTGATCTCATGTAGGTCCGTTTTTAAAGTAGTATATAATGAATCCTGGATTTAAACCCTTCTCATAGATCTGCCCAATTTAGCATAATTCCAATTTGCATAACTGCAGTTTAGCATAATCAGAAAATGCATGTTATTGCCATTATGTAATATGACTGCTTTTGTACTATGATCTGTTTTCGAAAAATATGAAGGAACGACTCATGCTCAAGAGAAGGGAAAATATCGATTAATTGATTACTATTCCTCCTTTCGACCATCAGTTGTTCTTTCATATTCCGTTGAACGGCAATATATCTATTTATCAGTATGTATAAGTAAAGTTTTTCCGCCATGCCAAATGGCCATTATGCTTATAAGAAATTCCATATAAAAAGTTAGAGTGTAGTTTAGAATTTCGTAAAAAAATAGTAATTTTGTTCCTTATCAAAAACTATAAGACCCGTATGTCACCATTAGTATTTTTTATCAATTTTTTATTAATCATAACTTTTGAACCACTTGACAGATTTTTTGAATCTACACTCAAACAAATCCATTATTAAAAAAAAATTCTGCGAAACCAGTGGACATATGTTTTGAACCAAAAGGTCAAATGAAAGATTATTAGTTTTTAGGAAAAATATGAATATGGATATTAATCGTGGTTTTACATTCAAAAACATTGATAATGATCAATTTTAATTAATTCCATGTTCTCGGGACCAAAGGCACTATTGCATGAAATGTTAAATTAAAATTTGATTTGTTTACACAACATATCGTAAATTCAACGATGAATGTTGTTTCTTTTTCTGAGGTACAATTTTCAAAAATATTATGTTTTTAGTTTTTGCTTATTAACGGCTATGAGCCTCCATTATTCAATACTAAATATTTTTGAAAAAGTGTAGCTTAGAAACGAAAAAAACATACATCGCTGAATTTTTAATATGCAGTAAGAAAATGTCAACATTTTAGAGAAAAGTATATCACTCAATAGCGCCTTTGGTTTTGAGACCGTGGAGCTCATGAAAATCGATTAAATTAAAAGTTTTTCAGTGTAAAAGCACAGTTTAAACCCATATTCTCCTTTTTTAAAGTGGCATTAATAATCTTTTATTTGAAATTTTATCCAATTTATCGGTCCAGTGTTTAAAAAGTTATGACTTTTTTTAATATGGAAAAAAAATTACCAACTGTTACGAAATTCTAAGATTCACTCTAACTATGTTCTATTGAATTTCTCAAATGGGGCAGAGCCCATTTCGCATGGAGACATTTGGCAAAAAGACATTTCGCAAGCGATGCCAGTGGTGTAGTGGTAAGCATGATTGCCTCTCACCCCAGCAGGCCTAGGTTCAATCCCAGTCGGCGCCGCCGGGAAAATATCTCACGCGGCTATTTGAATCGTTCGCGTTCGGTTTTTAGGCATTGAGTCTGGTTCTCCCTTGGTCGAGAAACTTGTTCAGCTGCCTTTCAGTTTATTCTTCATTCCTTCTACTGCTGTCAGTTGCAAGTCTACCTGCAGAGTCACTTGGTTGGAAGAAACTGTTTACTAAAATGAACTATGACGGTTGTATATAGCAAGTTTGGCTATAATCAACCCTCCTTGTTTTTATTTTCGATTTTCCCAGTATTTTGCAAACTTTGTAACGGAATCCGCTGCATTTACATGTTTCCGCAAATATGCTTTGGTCAAGGCCCAACACACTCACAAATGGCTTGCCAAAGAGGAGAAACAGCTGAATCACCATCAGACTCTGCAAACCTGTTCTCGTCATTCTTTCGGAGTGTGTAAAGTAAAAACCGGCCACCTTCGACTGAATCGTACTTGACCAGTTTTCCGCATTACGACTTGAACGTGACAGTTTACAACTTCGCTCCTCTTCTCATGGAAACTCTACAGCTTCTCGATTTAGTTACATGGGTCTCCCCCAGGGCTCATGTTTAAGCCCCCTTTTGTATAATTTCTACGTCACAGAAATTGACAATTGTCTAAGTGACAAATGCACGCTGAAACAACTTGCAGATGACGGAGTAGTGTCTATGACAGGGCCCAGAGAGGCTGACCGGCAAGGACCCTTACAAAATACCTTAGACAATTTGTCTACTTGGGCTATTCAGCTAGGTATCGAATTCTCCACGGAGAAAACTGAGTTGGTCGTTTTTTCTAGGAAGCATAGCCCAGCACAACCAAAGCTTCAACTTTTGGGTAGGCCGATCACTCATTCCATGTCTTTCAAATATCTTGGGATCTGGTTCGATTCCAAATGCACCTGGTGATCCCACATTGAGTATCTGAGACGAAAATGCCAACAAAGGATCAATTTTCTTCGAACAATTACCGGAACGTGGTGGGGATTCCATCCACAAGATCTTCTGACGTTGTACCGGACAACGATTTTATCGGTTTTAGAGTACGGTTGTTTTTGCTTCCAGTCAGCGGCTAAAACTCACATCATCAAACTGGAACGGATCCAGTATCGCTGTCTTCGTATCGCGTTAGGATGCATGCACTCGACTCATACGATGAGTCTCGAAGTGTTAGCGGGCATGTTGCCTCTATCTGATCGGTTTTTGGAATTATCCCTCAGGCTCCTCACCCGTTGTGAAATTATAAACCCACTGGTGATTGCAAACTTTGAGAAGCTTCTTGAGCTAAACCCTCAAACTCGTTTTATGACATTGTACTACGTGTACATAACACAGGATGTCAGCCCTTCACAGCATAATCCTCATCGTGTATGCTTCTCTGACTTCGGCAATTCAGTTAGTTTTGATTTATCTATGACGCGGGAGATTCGTGGAATCCCAGAACATCATCGTTCTATGATTGTTCCGTCAATTTACGCTGCAAAGTTTGGCCAAGTTGATTCCGCAAGATCGTTCTTCACAGATGGATCATTAATAGAGTCGTCCGCTGGTTTTGGTATTTTTAACGAATTTCATAGCGCCTCTCGAATGCTTCAAGCTCCTTGTTCCGTATATGTTGCTGAGCTGGCGGCAATATACTATACGCTAGAAACGATCGCCTCACTTCCACCAGATCACTATTTTATTTTTACGGATGGTCTTAGTTCTGTCGAGGCTATTCGCTCCATGAGGCTGGTAAATCACTCCTCTTATTTTCTCATGAAAATACGAGAGCTTTTAAGTGCTTTATCTTTATGATCTTTTGTCATCACCTTTGCATGGGTCCCATCTCATTGCTCGATTCCGGGCAATGAGATGGCTGACTCACTTGCTAAGGTGGGCGCTATGGAAGGCGATATTTACGATCGACAAATCACCTACGATGAATTTTTCTTCATTTATCGTCAACAGTCACTCGTCAGCTGGCAGAATAAGTGGAGTGAAGGGAGTTTGGGACGATGGCTATATTCGATCATCCCTAAGGTGTCGAAGAGTTCTTGGTTCAAGGGGTTGGATGTGGGTCGAGACTTCATTCGTATGATGTCTCGCCTCATGTCCAATCACTATTCGTTAAACGCTCACTTGTTTCGTGTTGGGCTGGGAGACAGCAATCTCTGTGAATGTGGACAAGGTTACCAAGACGCCGATCATATTATTTGGTCTTGTGCTGAGCATCGTGGAGTCAGATTGGAGCTGTACGATTCCCTTCGGGCTCGAGGTAGACAACCTAACGTTCCAGTTCGGGATATTTTGGCTGTACGCGATCTGGAGTTTATGAAACTCATATATGTTTACTTTAAGAATATTAACATTAGATTGTAAGTTTGATTAACCTTGTGTTTAGTTTGTATTTTGTACGTGTGGATTTGTTTTTTTATGTTTTTTTTCAAGATGAATAGAAATTAGTTCATGTTTTAGGATTAATTAAATATTTGTATCGTAAACCACATTTCAAACCTCCCTCTCCCTTTTCCCATCCAAAAAAAATTGTAAATCTCCACTAACCTCGAGACAACCGCGAGTATCCGGTCCAGCTCCTTTAACTTATATATAAGACATCAATAATGTATAACGAAAATGATAACTCGGCTATGTAAAGTTTATTCGATTGAGCCTGTACAAATAAAGTAATTAATAAAAAAAAAAACTTTGCTCCTCATGATGTTCGCACTAAACTTGAGTCCATAGAAACTTCAAAGGGCGCAGGTCCTGATTGTTTACCTCAAATCTTTATTAAACAATGTGCGGAGTCAGTTGCCTTACCTGCAAGTATGCTTTTCAATAG